CCCGTTCAGGGTGGCCGTCCGGGCCAGTTCCCCGGAGGATACCCCCAGCAGGGCGGACGTGGTGTTCCCCAGCAGATGCCCCCTGTCTACGGCATGCCCGGCTCCTTCCCTCCCGGAGGTGCCTACCCTCAGCCTGGTAACCCGCAATTCATGGCTGCCATCCAGCAGGTGCAGCAGGCTACCATGGGCGGTGGTCGCGGCGGTCCCCAGGGCGGCCGTGGTCCCGTCCCCCAGGGAATGCCCATCCCCGGCGGCCCCGGCATGCCCGGCTTCCCTCCCAACGCTCGCCAGGGTGGTAACCAGCCCGGCGCCGGCCGTGGTGCCAACCCCAACGCTCCCCGTAACGCTCCCTTCCCCCAGGGTGGCCGTGGAGCCCCTGCTCAGGAGCTCAACAGCGGCAGCCTCATCCAGCAGCAGCTTGCTGCCGCTGGCGGTAACCCCGGCCAGCAGAAGCAGATTCTCGGTGAGGTCATCTTCCCCAAGATCCAGGCTATCCAGCCTGAGCTTGCCGGAAAGATCACCGGCATGCTTCTCGAGATGGACAACGCTGAGCTTGTTAACCTGTAAGTTGAAACAACCCCTACGTACACTGATCTCTCACTAATATTTCGCAGCATCGAGGAGGAGTCTGCTCTCAAGGCCAAGGTCGACGAGGCCCTCGGCGTCTACGAGGAGTACATCAAGGCCCAGGGTGGCGAGGAGGGCGAGAAGAAGACCGAGGAGACTAAGGCCTAAGCCATCTCCTCCACATTCACGCAACGTCATGAGCATGATTTCCTTATGTCATCATACCCCTTGTTATTGGGCATCCTTTCTACGACCAGTGAGCATTCAACGACAACGCTCATGAGGTCATTGCTCAACACGGATTGGGAAAAGTTATTTGGAATGAGGCGGCATAATCGACTGCATTTTTTCACGCCAGAGGGATCTTCACGACATGCTTTGCTATGACGGCAGCTCTTTCTGGGGCCTGTCGTCAAATCCTTCGGGGCCTGCATGTGTGGATAGATTTCTCTACTGCCTTCGTAGGCAGAGAGATTGGCGGCTCATCCCTCCCTTGGGTGGCTCCTGTTCTCTTGATCTGCCAGGAAGGCTCGGTGGAATGCGTCATTTGCCACCCAGTATGGTTCTCCAGGAAGGCGTTTTACGGTTGTATGTTTGAGTCGCACGAGCTGCCTGGCTTCGCTCGCTTGCGATGGCACCAATACCCCACACAGAACGGTACTCGTTTCTTCAGGCAAACAGGCAGATGGTGGTTTTGAGGAGGTATGAAGTATCTCCTAATAGAAAGTTCAAAAATACTCGGCGTCCCTATACTGTGAAGATGTCTTAGTGTGCATGAGTGGATCTTTCTCTGATTAGTCCACTTTTGGAATGAGAAGATTGTTCGGTTGTCCATAATGACAGCCTTGGGTAATGATGGAGGCGTCCCCTTGAGCCTGACGGATCCAACACGAGTGTCAAACTTGAGGTGATGCTCACTCGATTTTGCCGGGCTTCGTCTGGGAAAATATGACTGAGAATTAGGACCTCATTTCTCGAGTACTCGGGAGGCCATAAGCTATGAGTGTGGGCGGAAGCCATCCTACGTTGACAACGGCGAAGGGGAGAGTGCAGCGCAAAAATTGCTATAAGAATACTTAGAACACGTCGAGGCGAAACGTCACTGGGGTTGAACTTGCATCTTGACATGTTGAAACGTAAGATAAACCAGGGTCCAACGTTCACGTCAATGATGTGTTCAAGAAATAGGTTGTTGACATGACCAACTTTCAAGAATCACGGCTAGGTGCAGTGTGAGGGCTCTTGAGATATCTTGTCATCGTCGACTACTAGGAAAGGTTGGCCTGGCCAAGCCTGCAGAGTAGTGTATCGCGTAAGGAGCTGCTAGTGATGATGCTTTGCCAGTCTTCCAATGCCAGCTTTTAGGTGACAGCAGCTAGTGGGTGGCTTTCGCTCCCATGTATATGGGAAGAGTGATTAGCAAGCATGGCAGCTATTTCCTGCTACGTAACTTTACTTCGGATATTTCCCTTCTAAATCTCTTGGAACTTCCCATCACATAAGCCTAGTCACTGTTGAATACAACTGCGATAGTCTTGGATGGATGATCGTACTTGGATGAAAGCGTCAGAGTTGGCATCTCGCGATATGGACTCAGACAAAGAAATCTCGGTAGGGCACTAGTCTTAACATCGTATCCAAGCTAAGCTGCCTCCGAGGGTCAAGGCCGAGAGTCGTTGACCTGAGCTGGGATACAAGCCCTGTTGTGGGAAGAAGGGAGGCACAGTCCCCAGACCTTGAGTAGACGAAGTATACAGGCTACCCGTCTGCGTAGTCTGATGAGAATTGGCAATCGCCATCTGGATTTGCACGTTGACATTCTCAGCCTGTGATGTCCTCCTTCCTGACCTAGCTTCAAGAATATTTCGGGGTGACAAATTTCAAAAAAGGCAGACAGGAACTGGAATCTATGCGGAAAATTCTGTGTTCACGGCTGGGAAGTCATCTCAACTTGAAGGAAGTAGACGACGGATTTTCATATCGACGTTAGGATAGAGTACCTGAAAAACGCCACTTGTGATGTGAGAAAAATATCTTATAGCTTCACTCACATCATGTATGAGGTGAGACATCCTTCTCGCAGATGGCCCGTCCGTAGCCGCGACGTAATGGCCAGACAATAATTTGTGGCGAGAACACTCTAATTTAATTACTCTGGATGTTGCTGACCATTCCAAGGATCTAGGCTTCTGATGTCGAGTTCCGCGGACACCTGTCAAGCCTACGATTGAGAATAACAGTAAATAGTAGCTGCCATGCTCGTCGAAGGCTTCACTTCATTCCTCAACCTCACATTGAGTTGATGGACTCGTTTGGGTAAAGCTTTCCTAGGCCAGGTTATATCACTGGACAAGTCCCCTACCAGAACGATAGGCGGATGGTGGCGAAGATAGAAACATTCATGACATGTGCAGAGAACTTACAGATAATGGCAATGTTCCTCATTCAATTTGGCTACATCCTCATAGCAGAAGTTGATCGAATGTCGTCCACCTTGACAAAACTAGTGTGAGTTCTCAACATTGATAGGACTCCAGTTCGAGCTTCACAGATAGCGCACTACAAATGGAAAAAAAAAAGCCAGCAGGGCCACGAATCTTGCAAAGGTGGTAGATCTTGAACCACCTAGACCAAACCAATAACACATGTATCGACAATCAACGATAGCTTGTACCCTTTTCGGGCCCCTCGCCGTGAACGTGGTCGGCAGGCCGGATGGAGCAGGTCAAGTGCGGGGCCCGCATCTGCACCCACGACCACGGAACCAACCAGCCAGCCAACCAACAAGCCTGACCCTAAGCTTGTTAAACAGCTTACGCGCTCCGCTCCTCCAACCCACCGAGCGAGGACCCAGTCCTCGAATCTCCCCTTGGTGTAGTTGGTTTATCACGTTCGACTGTAATGGTTACATTGTCATCGAAAGGTCTCTAGTTCGATTCTGGAAGGGGAGAACCATCTCTTTTGCCTATTTCTTCTTTTTTTTTTCTCACTGTTGTTATTGGTGCGCAATATGCATTGCTGTTGAGATGGGACAGTTTTTTTTTTTTTTTTTTTTTTTTTTTTTTTTTTTTTTTTTTTTTTTTTTTTTTTTTTTTTTTTTTTTTTTTTTTTTTTTTTTTTGTTTTTTTTTTTTTTTTTTTTTTTTTTTTTTTTTTTTTTTTTTTTTTTTTTTTTTTTTTTTTTTTTCTTTTTAGTTTTTCCGAGGGAAAGATTTTGTTCCTGGTGAGGAGGCAAGGTTCGGGGTTGTGGATAGGTACCAAGGTATCAACCAGGCCCCTTATTTATCTACCGCTCTGGACACCAAAGCAGTGAAGATTCAGAGTCAGCTACGGACATTTGAGAAGCTGTGAGACTCAAAGGCGATATTGAATGGCATCAAACTAAAGATTTCGAATTAACTACATACATTGTGTAGACACGCAGACACCATTTGCAACGCGATGACATTTGGGCTTTCCCGGATGATTGTAAGCTTGAGTTTCATCGCAAGTGCACAGGAAGTTTACTCTGACAAAAAGGACAAAAATAGATGGGATCAAAGTCCACGGTAACTTAGTCATATGGAACAGCAGGGGATGGAGGGTATCTACATAACCAATGAGTGGCTGCCCTGCAACGACAAACTTCATGTCGCTAGCAACTGAGCACGAACTTCACGATCCATATAACGGCCTTCCAATCCAAAGAAAACAAGGCAAAAACATGCCCAGATCGTCATAGAGGAGAGAATGTTCAAGATATGCTACCAAAAATAAAAGAATGATTTCGCCCGGACTTGAACCGGAGACCTTCAGTGTGTTAGACTGACGTGATAACCAACTACACCACGAAACCTGATTGGATGTTTGTATACGGGGACAGAAATGCTTCAGAAGGGCTATTGCGCCGTCAGCGCTTGAGAGCAGCAGCATCGTCAGGAGTCGACGTCAACGTACAAGAGATAGAGACAGTTGCGGTTGTTTTAAGCAGCATGTCTGCCTGTAATTGGCACGCAAGAGGCAAGAAACCGAAATGTCCAGGTGACGTCGTTTTCCCCTTGGCCATTCAAATTCTCAGATATGAAGCATCTCCAGGACAGCCTCCAGCCGGAACCAAGACCCTTCACCATTTACATCCTCAAAACCACACTCCAGCTGCCCAAGCCGGCAAGATTCCGAACATGATTATGGATACCTCTCATTCGAAAATCCATAATCCTTTACATCGGTGAATAGCATAGCGTCCCCCACCCAAAGAAAAGTTCGAATTTCATCCATCTCGGGCACGTCCCATCAAGAAAGACTCTTCACCACGCAGCCCCACCCATTCCAGCAGTCCCAGCGATCCCCAAGTCTATAAAATATCGTCCTCCCGCCGCAACTTTTAGGAATTTTCTTCTTCTTTTTTTCTTCATGTCGACAATACTTCAGAGAATCATTTCTATAGTATTCGACCTACTCTTGGTTCCCTAAAGGAGCTACAGATCCCACCCTGGTTGATGATTGATATCCTCGATACCCTAGAGTGATAAACTCTTGGTTCTCGAACCCTCCGCAATGAGGGCGGGCCTTAGGGCTTGTATAGAGAACGGTGATGATCTCGTCCCCTGTTCGCGGTCTTGCCCTTGGGCGCGCGGGAGGGGTGGGCATCGATGGACGTCTGACAGGCTCTGTTTTTCTCTTTTTTTCATTACGTGCTGGAGCATGAGACTCTGGTCGTGAAGAAGAAGATTCTCGTGTTTTTGATAGGAGGAAAGGAATGATTCGAAGATTGTCAAGACGTTCATAGGTCAATTGTATTTCATACGCCTAAAATCCAGAACCATTCTGTTGATATACAACCAGGCCCAAAAATGCTCTAACTAAAATACAAGTTTCATCATCAATCTTTAAGACCCCGTTGCGACATCACCCATTTATTCGGCAACCCAGACGGCGCTCATGCCCATACCGGTACCGATACACATAGACGTGTTGCCAATCTTCTTACCCGTCCGCTTGAGCTCGTACAGCAGCGTCGAGATCTGCCTCGCGCCAGTGCAGCCCAGCGGGTGACCGAAAGCGATGGCGCCGCCCTTGGGATTGACCTTTTCGAACGGGATGCCGAGCTGCTCGGCGCTCCACAAGCACTGCGACGCGAACGCCTCGTTGATCTCGTAGATGTCGACATCCTCGGTCGCGATGCCGGCCTTGGCGTTGGCGACGGGAATGGCCTTGGCGGGACCCTGGCCCATGAGCAGCGGCGGCAGGCCGACGATGGCGGCGGAGACGAACTTGCCGAGGATGGGCTGGCCGAGGCGCTCGGCGGTCGAGCGCTTCATGAAGAGCACGGCGGCGGCGCCGTCGGACACCTGGGAGGCATTACCGGCGTGGATGCCGCCATCCTTTGCGAAGGCGGGCTTGATCTTGGCCAGGGACTCGGCAGTGACGCCGGCGCGGATGCCGTCGTCCTTTGCGACGGTGATCTCCTTGGTCTCGCCAGACTTGGGATCCTCCCACTTGACCTTGAGGGGGGTGATTTCCTGGTCGAAGAGACCCTCAGCCTGGGCCTTGGTGGCCTTGGCGTATGAGGAGGCGGCGAAGGCGTCCTGCTTGGTGCGGGGGATGCCGAGGTCCTGGGCCATGTTCTCGGAGAGAACGCCCATGGGGACCTTGCAGTTTGCGGCCTCGGGAGTGTTTTCGAGGAGCTCAGAGAACTCGGAGACGGCGGCGGGGCTGTATGGGACGGAGGGTCAGTTACTGAGATTATGAGAACACAGGGCCAAGGAGGGCACATACCCGTATTGCGTTGACATGCTCTCGACGCCGGCGCCGATACCGACCTCAATCATGCCGGTCTTGATCGCGTTGATAATGTCCACGGAAGCCTGCAGACCAGAAGAGCACTGGCGGTTGAGGGTGCGCACGGCAGTGGTCTGGGGGAAGCCGGCGACGAGGGCAGCGGCACGCATCTCGGTGGCACCACCGCCGGGGGCCAGGACGGTGCCGACGGCGATATCCTCGACGAGGGCGGGGTCGATCTTGGAGCGGTCGAGGAGGGCCTTGAGGACGCCGGCCATCAGGTCGGCGGCCTGGGTGTCCTTGAACCCACCCTTGCCACCCTTGGTGAAGGGAGTTCGGAGTGCTGCGGTGACGACGACCTGCGGGGGAATACGATTAGACGGGCCCGTTCTATAATAATCTGGATAGAGAGCGGTCGGGAGCTTACATCGTCGGCGTTCTTCTGGAGGATCTTGTCCTTGCCGCCGGCGGAGAACTGGCCGCCAAGCTGAGTCAATCTCTCGAGGGCTGTTTTGAGCGACGTGGTTAGTAAAAGAGGCGAAGTGGCCGCCAGCAGAGTGTTGATTGCTACTCACCACCCATTGTGATAGATATGAAGCTTCGAATATAGAAACGAGAGGGTATATAGATGGATCAAACAGATGGAGAGCCGAGATTGAAAAGAGGAGATGTAGGTGGAACAGGTATATCAATACAAAAGTGTGTAAGGGGAACTGTGGCGGGCAAGATGTATGTCTGGTTCGGATCTCAGATGGGACAATGAGCCTCGGATGTTCTCAAAAACGGGTCTCTGACAAAGGAGCAGCAGGGTACTTGGTACACCTTGAAAGAGCTGGCTGATGTCAGCTGGGGGTCATCCAGCGCTGCACCTCACCTTTCTGCAGCAGCAGCAATCCAGTAGGTCCAGCAACCAAAAAAACCGGCCGAGGCATCCAAATTCCAGCGACCACACCGCATTGGTTACGAAACTCCGGGGCCCGAACCCCACCCTTTTTCTCTGGAGAACTTGGGTGCGGAAAGGTATCCGTATCTCACCTAGCTGCCATTTTCACATGCTCGCTTCTTCCCCACTGAAGCGGTAGCAGGTGCTGTTTCTGGCTGTTGGTGCGCTGCGACAGCAACCTTGGTCCCCACGTTCTCCCGCCTCCCCCGTACTTTTTCCTCCCCTGGTACTTACCTTACGGGGAATAGGCACGCCAATAGCTTGCGTCACAAGCACTTTACGGCAGCCCAGGTGATCAGCGTCCCGTCCTCCTACCATTCTTCTCTCGCATTCTCTTTCTTAGCCTTCTTAGGGCGTCACGGGACCTCTGGCGGCTTATGATACCTCGCTGCGAGGCTGGTGAGCTTGATGGCCGCCCTTTTGTGCTTGGTCCATCAGGTGCAACACGTGCTGGCTTGGCTTGAGCAGCAACCTTCTTTTTTTCCATGTGAAGATGCACCGCGAGTCAATCCTTAAAATCCCAAGCGCAAACCAATAGGATAATTGTTTCATCCACATGGAAACCCTAGCCTCGAGTCAACCTACGTATGCAGCTACTTGTGGAGAAACAAGCAGCTGGAAATGGAGATATCGCGACTTTATAGGTTCATCATAATACAAGGTCATTGTTCTACATATCTGTGTATGTCTCTCTCTCTCTCTTCTCCGACAAAATATCTGTATAGCTTCTCTCCCTCTACAATTTGGCCGTCGGCTTGATCAACGCCAGCCTCGCCTTCAGCGCCGCCTCAGCCTCCTTCTCTATTCTAGGAACCAAGTCCTTGACCGACGGGATGTCGTGAATCAATCCAATAACCTGTCCGGCCGTCCAAACCTATAGCAGAAAATGGTCAGCTCGATACTTCAAACCATGCTCAAGTGAAGGAAGAGGATATACTCACGCCATAGTCTGGATCACCCGTGATGAAAACCTCCTTGCCCCTCTTCCCGCTCACGAGCGGCGCAATCTCGGAAAACTCGCCCGACGTGCTCTGCTCCTCAATCTTGATCGCCTCCTCTGTGACCTTGTTCTTGTACAGCCGCGTCGTGTTTCTCCACCGCCGAAGCAGCAGCGCCGTGTCCGTCTCCTGCGCCTTGACAATCTCCTCCTTGATCTTGTGATGGATCGGCGCCTCCAGCGTGCACATGAACCGCGTGCCCATGTTGACGCCCACCGCGCCCAGGCACAGCGCCGCCGCGAGCCCTTCGCCGTCCGCGAACCCGCCGCTCGCGATGAAGGGCACCTTCAGCGACTGCCGCGCCCGCGAGAGGAGGATGAAGTTGGTAATGTCCGACTCGCCCACGTGGCCGGCGCACTCGAAGCCGTCGATGCTGAGGAAGTCGACGCCGAGCTTGACGGCGCTCTGCGCGTGGCGGATCGTCGTGCACTTGTGCAGGATCGTAACGCCCGCGGCCTTGAGCTGCTTGATGACGGGGCCCGGCGAGTTGCCGGCCGTCTCGACGATCTTGATGCCCTCGTCGATGACGACCTGGGCGTAGGCGGCGTAGTCTGGGGGCACGAGGGCCGGAAGGAGGGTGATGTTGACGGCAAAGGGGTACTTTGTCAGGGTCTTGCAGCGCTGGATCTCCTTGCGCAGCTCCTCGGGGGTCGGGAAGATGAGGGCGGTGATGATGCCCAGCGCGCCCGCGTTGGAGACGGCCGAGGCGAGGTCGGCTGTGCCGACGTGCTGCATGCCGCCCTGGACGATGGGTACTGTGAGGCGAACGAGAGCGTGTCAGCGATGAGTTGTCCTCTCTGGTACTCTACCCGGCATAAAGGGTTAGGATGCGCGCCATAGTGACGCCTGCGAATGTGATGTGTCGTGCGTCTTCTCGCGAGCCCTGCTCTGACGTACCTTTGATACCCAACCGTCGGGTCAGCTCAGTGTCGAAAGGCATGTTGGGCAGTCGGAGCGTTTTCTTTCTCTATTCGATTCGATTCGATTTCGGTACAAAATGTTGTGTTACGTGAAGAAACAGGTTGAGGGACGAGGGCGACAATCAGAACGAGGCAACAGGAAAAAGGAGACAACAAACTTCTAAAGCGTCTAGTCTAGATGGTGTAGATTGCAGACGTGATAATAAAAAGGGACAGAGTGGTGATTCTGACGGCAGTTTGGCTGACTCGGTCTGGCCGGTCAAAGGACGACGGCTGCTCAGCCCCCCCGATCGGTACCTTGGGACAGTGGGGACGTACCGAGGTAACTCGGCCTCCACCAACCGTCTCCCCCGCGTTTCCAGGTGCCAGGCCATTTTTCGATTAGAGCGAACATGGGGAAACACGGCCGACCCCATTTCGTGCCGTTCCTCTCTCACATGGCCAGACGCCATCTTTCCGCCGTCCACGGGACTATTTCCGTAACCAGAAGGCTTCATCCCTGACACCAGCCGGCCTGGCTTCACTCACTTTCTTCATATTCTGACAGAGAACGCAGCACACTGTATCTTCATCCTTGATATACTGAATCATCAAGGAGCTTAGCACAACAACACTTCGCAGGCCAACAGACTAGACAGACGCGTAGCACGGCGCTTCCACCTCTCAGTTCCTCTGGCTTCAGCCTTTCACGAAGCCCCATGGCGTGTAATATGTGACGCTGTGCTCCCTATCATATTGAATCTCATCGGTCAATAATCAAAGCTTCCGAGGGCCGCACACTGGACCCCCGGGTATCTCGATACCTGGCTGCCCGTTGGTCAGCAAGCACACCACCTAAGGACGATTGGATGTTTGTGCCCGATATCAACAGCGCCCCATCTCTCTCATCTGGCGGCTCTTCGAGGCGTTGGTGCCACAGCATCTAGGCTACGTGATGCGAATCCGACCTAAAGGAACGTCATTAGGCATTTGATAGTCGCCGTCCGCAACTCAGTTCAATCACAGGAA